CTAAAATATTCAATATAAGATTACGAAATATCGAAATCAAAAGATAGAATCCTATATATACTCACAAAAGAGTGTGTATCTTATATATACTCATAAAAGAGTGTGCATTGCAATGGTAAGGAGGTATTATTTGAGTTGTATATTGTGAGTTCGAGTCTCTGTTAATTTATGCAGTCACCTCTATAAAAAGTATTAACTGAGATGGACAATTCCTGATTCATGGTCAAACCAGCTGAGGTACTTCGGCTGGTTAGGTTCCTTCATGTTGGAACTTGCCATTCGGGTTGGAGTCTCATCTCCGATTCAACATAGGTTATATATAGCTTATAATTCTTTCCGTAGTAGACGAAGAGCATATTAATAATAAGGTGTATGTGTACGATTTTGTTAATATCAAGATATGACTAATCTTTCGAATGTGCTTATAGAGATGGTACTCTTGAGGACATTGACGAGGATGAATGTGTGCGCTTGTATTGTATGACAGCGTCTAACGTCTGTTCTATGCATCTTTAAAGAAAAATGCATATTTAGCTTTTTGTCTTTTCCAAAACAAAATGGATTTTACGATCATACATTGTCGGTTACATCATACATGGTGGGTGCATCTTTATTCCTTTGGGCCCCGCAAATAATAGCTGAGCAAGTCTTTTTAATATTATAATTGTTGGATGCAACACTTTCTGATTTGCTGCCGTTAGTTTTGGATATGGTGAGTTCTCAATGTTCCTTTTGCCGAGTGTATGCTATGCATGAATCATGATTAATGATTGTTTCCATCCTTGTTTGTTCTTTACTTCTTTATTAACGCACTTGCTTAAATCAAAGGGTGCTTTATTAATTCATTAGAAAAAGTAAAACATAAATCTACCAAAGGAAAAGAAAAGTGTGCCAAAGAAACTAAAGGGCATGTTCGCTGGTTGGTGCTGGTGCTGGTTTGGGCTGACTGGTACTGGTTTTTTGTGAGAGTAAAACACTGTTGGCTTGCTGGTTTGGGCTGGCTGAAACCAACAAGCGAACAGACTGAAAGTCTAAAGGAGTATCGGTCAAACAAAGAAAAAAGAAAGACACTTGGCCTTGCAGCACACGGAACGATCATGAAAGGATCGCCAGGAAGGTAGCTAGTTGATTGGGCATCAATTCTATGATTTTTTTAGAAACATTGTGTTGAAGCAAGTCACACCAAAACGCTAGAACAGGTAGAATGCAGGTCACAGAAACTGTGAACACCGATCAAGGAGTCTGTACCGCTGTTAGCGTCTTGACTTGTAGGTCCAATAAATGCAAGCCGGACAATCCGGTGTTTTTGTTTTTGACCTATAGACCTATGAACACCTTCTTCCCCGAAAGAATTGTCAGGAAGACACACATCGGCGGATTGCTCTAAAATCGGTAAGAGACCATCACCTAGAACACCCACAAATAGTTGCTCACTAAGTTGGCTATCTGCCTATCTCCTACTAAGGCTAATGGATTTTCCTTGGATCAAGGAGTCATTAAATACGAAGGGCGAGTATGGTGGGGGCCAACAACTTATTAGCCCAACAACATGTGATGCAGGCACTGGATGATAGTGGCATAGGGGGGCACTTAGGATTTCACAGCTCGTATCATAAAATCAAGAGCTTGTTTGCATGCACCCAAATGAAGAAGATAATCAAAGGGTTTGTGACTAGCTACACTATCCGCCAACAAGCAAAGGTTGAACATCCCAAACTTTCTAGACTTTTGCAGCCCTTGCCTATTCCTCAGTAGGCCTAGACAGTTGTCAGCATGAATATTGTGGAATGACTTCCAGTCTTTAACAAATTTGATGTCATTCTTGTGGTCATTGACAAGTTTAGCGAATATGGACATTTTGTTCCATTACACTACCGGAAACCGGCACTTTGCCGAGTGCCGGAGGCTTTGCCAAGTGTATTTTATCGGGCACTCGGCAAGGACGGTCTTTGCCGAGTGCCAAATAAAATACACTCGGCAAAAAAAAACACTCGACAAAATGCGTCTTTGTCGAGTGCCTTTTTTCTGGCACTCGGCAAAGATGTATTTTGCCGAGTGCTATTTTTCGGCACACGGCAAAATGCGTCTTTGCCGAGTGCCTTTTTCTGGCACTCGGCAAAGATGTATTTTGCCGAGTGCTATTTTTTGGCACATGGAAAAATGCGTCTTTGCCGAGTGCCTTTTTCTGGTACTCGACAAAGATGTATTTTGCCGAGTGTCTTTGTTTTGGCACTCAGCAAAGAGGCATTTTGCTGTGTGCATTTTTTTGTGGGACAAATCAGTTTTTCAAAGCAATTTTTGAGGCTCTAAATGAATTCAAATGAAAAACTTTTCAACTACAAAGTTATATAACTTCTCAAGATCTACAAAGTTTATTTTGGTCATTTCTTCATTTGACAAAGGGACAATGACGTTTTTCATAAAATCTATATCTCATATTAGTTTCATGAAAAGAAGAGAGATATATAAGATTTGTGAACAATGTTACTACCACTATGTCGGATGAACAAATGACCAAAATAAACTTTGTAGATCTTGAGAAGTTATGAAATTTTGTAGTTGGCAACATTATGATTTGAAATCATCTTGTCATGCAAAAACGACGTTTGAATTTGAAAATTTAAAATTTAAATTTTTCAAAAGACCTTGGATGGAAAAACTTCCTAAATGAAAATTGCAGATCTAGAAAATTTATAAAACTATGTAGTTGACAACTTTTTGTTTTGAAATCATCTTATCATGCTAAACTACGTTTAAATCTCTAAAATTTGAAATTCGAATTTTTCAAACGACCTCGGATGGAAAAACTTCCTAAATGAAAATTATAGATCTCGAAAAGTTATGAAACTTTGTAGTTGACCACTTTTTGATTTGAATTCGTTTATGGCCTCAAACAAGCAATTTACTCTCGGTTTAGTATAATATATGATGATAGATAACGGAATCTAGACACAAGTGACAGTGTAGTGCAGTGGTAGAGCAGCAGACACACGAGGGAGAGGTCATGAGTTCGAATCCCGCCGGCTGCGTTAACCGCGAATTTAGCACAAAAAATGCAACAACTTTGATGGAGACGGGCGGACGCTGGCCGATGGTGGCCTCCCCCGAATTTTATTTTTGAAAAATTTTGCTATTATTTTTGGGTTTTTTCGCATTTTCATTTTGCCGAGTGTAAATCTTTGCCGAGTGCTTTTCCGGCATTCGGCAAAGGCTTTGCCGAGTGCCCGACATGCGGCACTCGGCAAAGAAGCCTTTGCCGTGAAGGGATATGCTGACACTCTTTGCCGAGTGTAGCACTCGGCAAAGGCTTTGCCGAGTGCAAAGCCTTCTTTGCCGAGTGCAATTGCACTCGGCAAAGCATGCGTCTGCTGTAGTGTTATCTCATCCATTCACTGCTCTAACAGTGTAAAAATTTATATCAACAACATTTACAAACTCCATGGGCTTCCTTAGACCATCATCACTAATTGGGACAATCTTTACAAGCTCACTATGCACTGACACTCAACTGATCATGAGTTTATCTCATCATCCTCAAACAGACGGCCAGACATAGAGGTTAAGCCAATACTTAGAGGCCTTCTTGAGCTGTTCAATGAGCTCTTGTCCAAAGCAATAGAGCAAGTGCCTTCCATTGGCAGAGTTTTGGTACAATACAAACCTTTCACTCTACATTTGAGGTCCTATATGGTCACCCTCTGCAGCATTTTGGCATTGCTCCACCACATGCAACATTCTAATCCCTCAGTTGGAGGCGTGGTTAAAGGACAAAGAGCTTTTCAATCAGATTATTGAGAAATAGCTTCAACGTGCACAACATCGGATGAAGGCTCAAGCAGATAAACACTGTTTTGAGCGATAATTCAATGTGGGTGATCGTGTTTATCTTCAACTACGTCCTTATGTCCAAACTTCAGGGTCTCAACGCAATAATCAGAATATCTATAAGTACTTTGGTCCATTCATAGTGCTCCAACGCATTGATATAGTGTCTTATAAATTGGATTTGCCTTTAGATTATCAGATTCTAGTGATCCATGTTTTCCAGCTAAAAAGCATATGTTCTCTCACAGTTTGCGCTCTCTCAGGCACATCTGTCTACTTGGCAATCGACATTGTCTGTTCAGGCACAGTTTGCGCTCTCTCCCGCTTTGGGGCAAGATGGATTTCAAGACTAGTAGTGGCTAAATGGGCTTGGGCTCTACTGTGTGTGTCTCGGCACTGGACTTGAGGTCGGTATCAGGGTGGATATATAAACCCTTCTAAAGGTCTCGAACGACAAATAATGAATAACTGAAGTTCCTATACTATTTTGTTCCTGTCTTCTTATTGCTTGTTATTGCTCTTAAAACTCTGCTCCAGTTCATCTTCAGAAAACCCATATCATCATTACCATATAGCCTCTGAAGGATTGTAACAGTACGATGGACTAGAAATATGTCTGATGAGAGGTTTGAACCTAAATGAGAAAATTGTATCTTTTTGCTTAAAGAGATTTCGGCTGAACCGTAGACCAAATGTTTACAGTTACTATCACACAAAACTTGATAGTGCAAATTGTGATGTACTTGTTGAAGTCAAAGTGTCAAAAAAATCAAGGAGGAGAATTGGTGGATGTGAAGAAAAAGCAATTTCAGATTCCCTCCAAACAAAGCGTGTTATGTGGCAACCGAGAAAAAGATGCTGAATAGTTTGTTTTTTGTAGCAAACGAAATCTCATCATCTCTCCATTTAAGCTTTACATGATTGTCTTTTAGTTGAAATTTCGTCCAAACAGAATATAATGAAATGAAGATCTTCATTTTAAACGGTATCTTCAAATTTGTATATAGATACCTGTAGTTGAATTCTAAATTGCAACGTACAGTAGTTAATACATATAGTGGCAACGATAACAGAGGAGGGAAGGAAACACGACTCCATATGCAACAAATAAACCGATCATCGATCGAGCGGTTAACGATACAAGCAAAGCTGGCGTAGCAGCTGCGTTGCTCGGATCAGGCAGAGCAGGTGGCATTGGCGGGCGGCATCCTGATGTGTACCTTGTCGATGCTCGAGCACAAGACCCTGATACTGTAGAGCCTCGATTTGACGAGCCCAACCTTGAACTGAACCTGTGCAATGACCATGATGGTCGTGGATACCGACGACGCGTTACTGTAGATGCTAAAAAAGTCGTTATCAATGGTGCCATTGACGCCCATGCTCCTGTAATTTGCACTCCTCCCCTGGGGCAGCGGCAATGGTCCGTCACAGTCCCGGGCACCGATGTCTTCCTCACGCTCGGGCGCTCGCGCCTTCGCAGCTGCATGCTCATTGCTCACCACGACGTGGCGGTAGATCACCCCGGCGCGGCGGCTGGGGTTGTAGGCGCGGAGGTCGAAATCGATGGCCATCTGGGCGTTGTCGGCGTTGGACATGGTGAAGTTGGCGACGGAGAACTGGATGCGCGCGGGGCGGAGGACGGCGGAGGTGACGATGGTCACCGTGCTGGCCGCGAGGATGATGACCATGCCCGCCAGGACGTAATGCTTTGGCCTCCATTCTGCGCTTCCGGCGGTTTTCACGTCTGCTGGATCGTCTGGTGTTAGGGTACCCTCCCTGCGGCTGCTGCTCGCCATGTGTGTACGCCCTGCACCCACAGGCTACAGGCTACAGGCTGCAGCGTTAATAAGAAAACTGATGATGCTTGTTTAGACTGACGGGTCGGATATCGCCATATCGGACCGGAGCTATACATAATACTTCGATCGGTCAGGTACATGCGCGCGGCATGCAGTCTTCTAGATAAGTACAGGGAGCAACTTCAGGGATCACGAATTAACGAACCATCGGATCCCACCACAATCACTTGGCTTTTGATCATTGCTTAAGCTATGCCTTGATCGTCTTTGGCGGGGCTAGCTTCACAGGCGGCTTTAGCTCTGGGTTTTCTGGCTTTTCGGGTAAAGCCCTGCCAAACACTGCTCATAAACGGCTTTTCGAGAAAGCTGCAGCTGAACGGCTATATGAGAGAAGCTGTAGCCGTTTTTTACTAGATAGAAGGGTGAAGGCACCTAAACGTGATTTTGTGATTTTTCTGTCTTCTCTAGGTTTTTAGGTGAAACCATTTACAAAAAAGACATGGCAAATATTATCTTAATTAGTAGGAATAATATGCACGAGAGTCAAAAGCCGTATTGACGTTCTTTATGATGATTTAGAGCATCCGAAAGGGTTTCTAACTTAGTTGGTTAGATGGTCTGAGTTGTACTCTTCTGGTCCTGAGTTTGACTTCCTGTGGGAGCGAATTTTAGGTTAGGGTTAAAAAAGTTCCCTCATCTATTCTACGCCAAAGTATAGCGAATTTCAAGCTAGGGTTAAAAAAGTCCCCTTGTCTATTCCACAACAAAGCATAGGTCTAATAAGGCCTGGCCCAGTTGTGATCGTTGTCACATAGGCTACGGTGCCGATGTGTATTGTGGGTGGGGCAGGGGTTGAAAGATTTTCTCGACTTATATGAGAAGGTCTTCTTCTCGAGACAATACCGGGGGTTGTCTTACCCCCACAAGTTAAGTTTTTTTTTGTATAGGTGTTTATCACGAAAATGATCTTGCCATTAAATGGATGACGTTTTACTTTGTAATGTCATACAAGGTGCTATGAGATGCACCTTCTGTCACGATAGGGTTATCATCGCTGACGCTGAGATATCACAGAATATGTGCTATAAACAAAATAACCTTGTTAGTGACAGTATCTGATCGTTAAAGAAAGCCCCATGTGTTGTACTCTTGGCACAACAAAAAAAAGGTGAACCAAAGTGAACATACAAATCTAGTGGAACCTACCCTCATATATAGGCCCTTCATTGGCGCCATAAAGATGCCATTGAGTACAGAGACCAAAGAAATCTTATTTGTAAGCACCATCATCAGCACCTCTCTACAGATGCCGCTAATAAATTAAATCAATTTATTGAAATTTAGGACCGACTAGAAACTAGACCTATGATGATGTGGACAAGTCCCCCAACTGCCGCAAGGGCAGAGGAGAGTGACCTCGTATTTTTCTTTTATTTTGGAACTAGCTAGCTCAATGCTTGTGTCCTGGTCTCCTGGAAGATGGTTCTCTCGTTTTTTTTTCTCGACCATGCAAAAGATTTGTGCGTCTTTATATTAAGTAGAGAAAAAAATTTAATATAACACACCTTAGTGGCATCCTAGGGAGTCAGAAGAGTTGTACATGGATGCTCAGACCCACCCTAGTGTACTGAAATCTATACTGTTACATTGAACATTGAACATTGATCAACCTAAATTGCGGCGCCGGCTAGGAGGCTTTATGCCCGGACTGCTCAGCGGCGGTGCCGCCGCTTGCGCGCACCCACATCGCCGTCCGGCGCGAACAACTCACGAAGCACCTGCATATTACCGGTGTCGCCGCTGAAGATTTCATCGTATGTCTTCACGGTCGACGTGGACGGAGAAGACATCCCGCTGGTTAGTCCCAAGCGCTTCAAGAAAATGTGCTCACCTCGCTTGGACGCTGGGATATGTGAAAAGCTCTGCGCCGCTATCCTCTTGCTCCTCTTGGGGAGTGCGGGTGGTGGATGATCGTCGTGGGCCATATCATCTCCGGGTAGCTCCAGGAGTGGCAGCTGCCTCGTCTTGGTAACTCACTCGGTGAAGCACTTGAGGCGTCTGTCGGCGGAGGTCGGTTGACAGCGTCCGTGGCAGCCACGACCATCGCATCTCCAGGGGTGGCACCCCCCACCAGTGCTGGGTCGCCTAGCTGTCCCCCCATGGTGGCGTGACCTATGGTGGCCTGCACTACTGTAGTATTTTTAACTGTGACGGGCATTTTGGGTTAACCGAGGAGGTTTTTGCAACCGCCTAGGCCAAAAGGTCACGGTTAATCATGGCTTAACCGAGGTGGTTGCCCTAGCCGCCTTGGTTAATCGACTAACCATGGCGGTCGGCTTTACACAACCGCCTCGGTTAATACATATTAACCGAGGCGGTTGTTATTAAGTGCCCGCCTCGGTTAATGATTTCCAGATTTAAAAAATGTCTTTTCAAATTAGAATTAGAATTTCGCTAATAAAAACATAGATAAAGCAGAAAAATAGATGACAAATATATATTACATTTATTCTCGTTCGACGAACCAACATTTAAGTTATTACATTAGAGATGTCTTCATCATTACAAACACACATCATTCATACATGAGCAACTAAGGATAGTCATACATATCAACCTTTCTTGGGAAAGAGGTCCGGTAAAATGTAATTCGAGATTTATAAGTGGGTGCTCCAGTTTCTGATCCTCTCGAACTTTGGATCCCGCGCTAAGTCACCTTCCTTGTGGAAGAACATATTCCCTTCATGCGCGCTCTCTGTGACAAACTTACATATGTCTGCTACAGTTGTCTAAAGTCTTGGTCGACCTTCTCCCTTCGCCACCATCCTTGTGCTTTCTTGAGCTGCCGCCAGCTGTTGCTGAATCTGCTGCACGTCCTCAAGTACTCACAAATGTAGAATCCACATAATACTGAGCCATAAGGTTGTTTGGCGCACTACACGATATATAATACACAATCATTAGAGCATATATAGAGAGCAGTAGTAGGAGGACAATATAGTATAGGAGTAGTAGTAGTTATAGGAGTAGAGTAGAGTAGAGTAGTAGTAGTAGTTGTAGTTGTAGTAGTAATAGTTAGGAGTAGTAGTAGTATTGGTATAGGAGTAGAGTAGAGTAGATGAGTAGTAGGAGGAGGAGGAGGAGTAGGAGGAGGAGTAGTAGGAGGAGTAGTAGTAGTAGGAGTAGTAGTAGTAGTAGAAGGAGTAGTAGTAGGAGTAGTAGTAGGAGTAGTAGTAGTAGGAGTCTTAGTAGTAGGAGTAGTAGGAGGAGGAGGAGTAGTAGGAGTAGTAGGAGTAGTAGTAGTAGGAGTAGTAGTAAAGTAGTATATCAGCAGTAGTAGTAGAGAGCATGCTCGATATAATAGTACAAATGACTTTTGATATACTTACCGAGAACTCATGCCTGAGTTTCAGTTTCATGCCATTCTTGATTTTTTTTCTCCTTGGATCTTTGGTCATAGGATTCGGGATCTTGCACATACTTCTTATAAGCGTTGTACGAAAAACCAGTAGTGTCAACGACAATTTCAACACCTATGTTAACTATAAATGAATAATTTCTATCACTTACTATCTCAAACAGCTTTCAAAGTGCTTGTACTCTGCTTTGTTTGTTTCCTACAAAGAGTCAAATATACAGACCCTTCTATCCTGAGGATAGATTATAAATAAATCTAGTGGCCCATGATGCCCTGGCTGCACCATTCACACAATACAGATTAGAAATGTTCAAATATGAGAAGCCATGATTCCAGTACCTATATATATGTTCCAAGTATCTTTTGGACTTACCCGAACTGCTGGGCGGCCATGACGCACCCATTTCCCCGAACCTTCTTCATGACTTCATAGATGTACATTCCAGCCCAATACTTATATTCGATTACCATATGTTTCCTGTATTTCTTTCTCTGCTCTGGGTTCAAGTTCACTAGCTTTTCATGAGTGTCTAGTATATTGCAACCCACGATGGTTCTCTCTGTAGTAAGCATCGGAGAGATAGACAATATTCTTGCCCAATTTCTTGCTTACATAGGCCTGCATCCTGCAAGGAAGAGTCATCATGGCATTATTAGTTTGTTCGTAAAGTACCTACATCGACGCAGTGGTGTCAAAGTTGTAATGAACTTATAGGGCAAATAAGATTACTTGGGCAATGTCGAGGTCCTTTCGCCGCAGTAGTCTATACATGTCGTGGAAATCTACGATGACTTGACCATCCATGGGTGTGTGGAAGTACTCCTCTAGAATCTTGATGATGAAGTTTTCTAGGCCCACTACAGATGGAACCTCCTTACCTCCCACTACTCTTCAAGGAGGTCACCCAAGGTCAATATGAACTTCCGATGCATGCAGTTTTGAGGCAATCATCCTACCAGGGCCAAAACAATGGCGATGTTTCAGCCTGCAACACCGGGGCTTGAGATGTTAGGGAGTGAAAAAAGCAGCTAGCATCTCCAAATGAATTATTGATTGACTATGCTTGCTAGTAGCATACCTTTCAACCGTAGTTGAGTATGGGTGCTCGTCGGCTATTTGAAATGCCACCCAACTCGACTTGGTGTGGTTCGGGGGTATGGCCTCCTCTTCATCTGCATGCTTCCTCGGTGAGGGAGGACATTGGTTTGAGCCCTGGTTCGAACCACTTGTAGGTGGTGGTGTCACATCGCCCGATGCTGCCCCTTGTCTCCATGTGGATTGTTGTTGCTGAGAGGCGGATTACTGCCTAGGCCGCCAGCATTGTCGTTGTCATCACCATCGCCGCCGCCGTCGTCGTCGTCACTTGGGTTACCTGGGGGAGATGACAACGGGTGTGAGGGCTATGACGCCGGCATTGGCATGTCCAAGAGAACGTCGCTCTTATTCCATAGCTCTTATTCCTATACCCCTCTTTAGTGGAAATGTCGATTTCATCCTCGTCAAAATCTTTGTTGGTCCACGTCACGTTGACCCGGGCATAATCGGGCAGGATCGGCTTACCGTCATACATGGCACCAC